TAGATAATTACTACCAAGGGACAATCAATTAGACTTTATACAAATAGTCAGAACAATCAACTTTACTGGGCAATTCAGAGGACAATTCTATTCATGTAGCTAATAGCATCATTATTAGCAATTCATTTATTCAAATTTCATTTCCCAGGGCAATAGTATACTCAATTCACAAATTCACAATGCAATTCACAATTTCAATTTCTAATTACAAATTACACCAACACAACAAGACTCACCTCACAGAGACAGAGGCAAAGGCAAGGGCCGCAAGGCAACAATCTGCAAGCCAGCAAACAGCAATGAACTTCAAGTCTTCAATAATGTCTGTTTGGAATTGTCCAGCAATTGAACATCAAAGTCCTAATTTCACTGTTAAAAGAGAAAAAAAAACCTTGAACTTGAAGCTCGAATAGGCGGCAGCAGGGGCAGAAAAAAATGAAAATAACAGAAAAAAAATTGCTTTCATAGAAACATTATTCACCTTCTTCTTCAGTTCTTCTTCTACTGGAGCTCGAACCTCGGCGAACAAAGCTTGAAGCTCGAACAGCCTTAAACTGGAGATCGGACAGAATACAGATAAACGGAAACCAGTGGAAGAAGAGGCGGAGAGGGGAGGACTGGAGGCCGGAGGCGGGCCAGGCGGCGACGGGAGAACTAGCGGAAGACTGGAGAACGATCGAAGGGAACGGGCTGCTGGGCGATTGGCGAACGAAGAGGAGGAGGAGATGAAAATCGAGATTTGCCCAATTCCAATTGAACGAGAACTGAAGAAGGGATGTTTCAATCTTGGGCTGCTGGTGCTGGGCTTGGACGTGGGTCAAATTTAAAAAAAAAAAATTGGCCCAAAAAAAAAAAATTTCTGGCCCAAAATCTCAGTGCGGGCATTTGCCTGCACTGGGCCTAATGGGCCTCCGCCCCTGATCAGATTGTCAAGGTAATCTGTTACTACATGAATGGCTGAAATGACAGCTTCTGCTAGGAGGAGGATAGCCTCCATAGCCAATCATATCATGCCAGCACATCCAAACCAAAGTCAACCAGGTAATACCATTGGCACAATGAACTGCAGCTCTTTAATAAACAACAGTTTCCACCGGCTTCACGGCGAAGTTCCAACTCACATTTCGGTATGGTCTCCGGTGAATGACGACTCCGGGAAGGAGTACGCTGACATTATCTACGAAAAAGCTTCAGGAGAAGGCATTGCCAATGTCAGTATAGAGTAAGAAGAAATTCTGAAGATGATAGAAATGGGAGTTGTTCTTTTATTCATTGAGAAATCATCAATATACAGTACAACACAATAAACTTATCTTGTGTTCGACACCCATTTTGGGAAAAAATGAATTATGGAATAGTGATTGATGGAAAAATGTGTGGTTGAAAAGTAATGAAAAATTTTATATTTGTGTGTAATATTATATTATTTGGAGAATGTGTGCTTGAAATGAAAAAATAAAAAAAAATGAGAATGAGAA